ATATAAAGCTAATATGAACAAACTTAACTTCTGAGATCGGCTACTTTCTTATGTGTGCGTGTCGAAAAAAATAAAAAAAAGCGAAATTTTAATATGAAATTTCGTTTGTGTAACCAATTTATGAAGGCTTCAGTTCAATCGGTAATTGATCAGCCTGTGTAACTTTGAGTTGACCCCCCGTATATTTACCTATCCCCTAGGTAATAGCCCTCTCTGTCCAACTCCCTTATAAAATTCTCGTCAAAAAATAGTAATAGCCCTCTCTGTCCATATTGTATTACTTCTACTTATGGATAATGAAATAGATGAAATAGCCTGGCCCGAAGAAATCAATAACACGTCGAAAAATCAATTATCTGGTTATAATGAAAGTGATACGGATGGTGAGATAGTTAATGTAAATGAAGTTGTATTAACGATCGGCGATTTATTCAATGATTGGGAATCAGTCCAAGTGATTATTAATTCGTATGCAAAGCAAAACGGGTTTGTAGTAGCTAAAAGTCGCAAGGATGTTGATCCTATTGATAAATCTATTATCCGACGCCGTGAATATATTTGCTGGAAATCTGGAACTCATCAATCAAAGAAAGTTGAAGATATTAGTTTACACCGGGAATGTTCATCGTACAAAACAAATTGTCTGTGGTAAGCTAGTTTTTATCTTGGAAAAAAATCAAATCTCATACGTCTTACCAAATTTGTACAGAAACATAACCATCAATGTGATCCAAAAACTATTGAATTAGCACCAAAAAATCTACGGCTTCCACAACTAATCATCGACAAAATCGAACACTACACCACAAATGGAAATCTAGGCGCTGAACAGCAGTATAAACTGCTTGTTCAAGAATTTCCCCAGTATAATATTGCAAAGAAGAACTTATATAATGCAATTCAAAAGTTCCGGGGGGTTAGGATTCACGATAAAACCGATGCTGCCACGATGCTTTTGTTTTTATTAAAGCAACGGGAAGATGATCCGGATTATGTTGTCATACCACGATTAGAAAGACCGGCCAATGAGCTGACTGGGCTATTTTGGATGACTAGCTATCAATGTAACGATCTATGGCCAAAATATCATGACGTTATTGTATATGATACAACCTCGAAAACAAATCGATATGAAATGGTGCTCAGTCTATTTGTTGCTGTAGACAATAATTATAAAACAAGAATTGTAGCACAAGCGTTGACTAAATATGAAAATCAGGCCGATTTTAATTGGATTCTCCAATGTACGTTGCAAGCATCCAACAACCTTTCACCTAGGGTTTTATTTACTGACAGTGACCTGGCCATAATAGCGGCTGTTCAGGTAGTTTATCCACAAACACGCCACTTATTATGTATTTACCATCTTTTTGAAAATGTAAAAAAGAAAGCCAAATCTAAGCTTCGAGGTGATATGGCGTTGAATTTTGTTGAAGATTTTTACACTATGAGGAATAGCTACAGTGAAGAACAATTCAATACGAAATATCAAGAAATGTTGGCCAAGTACGAGCCGTGTCGTCCATATCTTGAAAAACGAATTTATCCTAGTCGAGAATCTTGGGCTCAATATTTTATTTCAAAAATATTTACTGCGGGCATAGAAAGCACACAGCGTGTAGAATCGATAAATGGCGTTATAAAAAAACTTGTTGACCGAGGCACTTTGTTAAAAGAGCTAGTAATGGCCATTGAACGTGAATTAGACAAGGAATCTCATTATACCCGAATTAATGATTTTTATGGATCAAATCTGTCGGTTGGGTTTTCTTCAACTTATAACACCATTTTTAAAGAACTCGATTCTGTATTGCAAGCGAATTTATTACCTATTCTCTTGTCAATTCAAAGAGCTCAAATGAACCAATCATTGCTTTATCAAGTTAATTTAGTTTCAATTAATCAGATTGAAGATGAAGAAAGCAATGATAATAACGGTATATTAGGACATTCACATGATATACCTCAAATTCGTTTACGGGACCTCCTTAATGGTATATCCTACAATGATATTATCGAGATTTGGGAAGTATCGTATATCTGTCTCTTATACACATCTAGATGTGTATAAGAGACAGGGTATATCCTACAATGATATTATCGAGATTTGGGAAGTATCGTATATTGCATCAAAAACTTCCAAATCACACTATGTTGTTATACTCAAAGACGTGACATTACTTTGCACCTGTATGTTTATTATTAATCAAGGAATGATATGCCGTCATCAATTCAGGGTGCTTATTCAGTCAGACAACGCGATATTTCATATTTCGCATATTCATACACGTTGGTTTAATTTGAGTTCAGATCTACCTACCAACTCAACAGGTTTTATTACGATTATAAATGGTGAAAAAAATCATACAACAATACCATTGAGTTATATGAATCAATTAAGAACAGATAATGTATACACTATGACGATCAGAGAAAAGGTTAATAAAAAAATTCAATATGGTGCCGCGATGTCTATAGCTAAAACGAGCATTCAAATTGCCGTTACAGAAGGTATTACAGCTGAATTAATAGGAATTTTAACGCAGTTTATCATGAAATATCGTAGAAGCACCAGTTTAAGCATTGAAAAGAGTACTATTTCTTTCTCAAATACCATAGATGCCATATATTGTATAGCATGGGTTTAAGCTTCGAAAATACTAAGAACTTTATTTTTTTTTCAGGTACCGAATCATTACAGGATTCGCAAGGACTTTCTATTCAAGATAATCCTCAACCTTTATCCGTTCTTCCTGATATATCAAATCCTGAGTATCACAAACCAAAAGGACGACCTCCAAAGCGGTATAAATCGACGGTAGAAAATAATTGTATTACATCAGGAAAACCTGACGATGTAACAGTACAGAAAACGTGTAGTTATTGCTCCGAAAAAGGTCATAATATTCGTGGATGTCCAAAATACAAAGCTAAATCATCCGCTAACAAAGAAAACGAATATTTAGTTTAGTTTTACATTGTTGGGTATGGTGGTTAATAATGTAATAGTTAAGTTGCACACTTGCACTCAAATAAACAAAGATTTAGCTTGTATCAATGTCTTTTATTAAATGTATTTCTTTTAAATTTATTACAAAGTTTTTACATATAGATTATAATAAAAATTTCATTTCTGCGCATTAAGAAATTGCGAAGTCACGTGATATATATGATCACGTGACGCCGGTGCTGACCACCAGTGGGGCCATCCTTAACCTGATCCACCGGTCCAGATGCTTATTCTGGACCAGTCAACTTTTGATTAGCTAATCACCCCTTTTATTACATAACTCCGGCATATCTCTTACTCTTCCTATCTTTCACTCTTTCTCTATTCTTTTTTGTGGTATGTTAGTACTTAGTATTTCATATTTCATTTCAGTTTGTATATTTTAATTTTAATTGTATTTATTGTAGTTTTATGATAATACTAAATGTTTTTTATTTTCTTTTTGAAGAGTTTTATGATATATTGATATTATTCTGGAAATCAAGTGTTTTTTTTTTAAGTTTTGGGTTAAGCAAAGTTGTTCAAAAAAGGTTGTAAATTACACATTTATAACAAAACTTTTAAAGATAATATAATACTATTACTTTGTACTTTTGTTTTGATATTAACGTTAAAATAATTTTAATAATAAAATTACAGTAAAAAATAATGTAAAGACCTTTTTTATAAAGTTATATATGCAATTTTACTTATTTATTAATAAAGTTTAATAAAATGCATACCAAAGTACAAATTTTAAATAACATATTACNTAACTTTTTTTTTAAAAAAAATGCGAATTGTTTTTTTTTCCAAGACAAATGTTACACAAAACAATCTCATCCAATTAGATTTGCTGGTCCAGGATAAGCATCTGGACCGTGGCCCAGGATAAGGATGCTCCCACCAGTGGTGGTAAATAGCAAACTTCTTTAATAAATATATGTTATGTTGTGTAACATAAGTAATCACATGATCACATGACCGGTGAAAATCACCACCAGTGAAAATTTGACAATTCCTTTATATAAAATTGTGAAATGTAGTACAAAATTAACACTCACCGTTAGTGAAAATAAAATTATAAATTCAATATATAATATTTTAAAAAGTTATATAAATATGAAAAATAAGCAACTAAAAACTCTTAGTATTTTAAAATAATACCAAAAATATGCAATTTAATTATCTTACATAGTATAAAATTTTCTTAAAATTAAGCATTATAAAATTCTTACATCATAAAACTTTACTATGTTGGCTAAGCACCTTGGTACCTTACATATATAAGCATTTTCCGGGGTCCTCAAGATCCCGATCTAAGTCTCGAGCTTTTTGAGGATCGATATAAATAACCGGGAAGTCAAAGACTCGAAGCTTCGCTTCCTCTCCCATTCCAATTTTTTTATAATTACGAAAAAAAGCTGGCATCTATTAAGTCAGGTTCTATTCATTAGCTGAGGCACTTTTTTCCTTATGCTTTTGTCTCGCCTCTATCTCCTTCTGCAGGTTAATGGAGTATCTAACCTTAGCCGAATTGCAAGAGGATCATCTTCTGGCCTAGTGAGATCAATACAATAAATTCTTTTTTTCAAAGGTAGCTATTAATGACCATCAAAGCATTTTTTACATCATCAGTATATTGCTTAATAATCTTGGAAATATCTTGAGAAGAACCACTCACCTAGAGTAGGGTTGGGAAAAAAAAGATTCGTTCAGGAATTGTACAACCCTGACCTAGTGGTTGTACAATGATGTAATTAGCCAAAATCATATGACTCTAATCATTCTGATTTCTGAACTGATTTTTCTGATCGTGACGCGCGTTACTTATAAGTTGAAACAAGAAAGACCCTTCTAAAAGATGCAACAATTTTCTCTTGAGTGTCTTAACGCTGTGCAGTACCGAGGTAAGGCAAATTATGCTTTTGGCAGTGCCTTATGGCATGTTATTAACCTTGCTATTTAAGTGTAGCTTTTTGGGAGAATACAAAAAATCCTACGCTCCTAAAATTTTTGAACTTTCGGCTCTCCGCCGGCGATCTGGAAGATAAAAAAACGGAATATAATCGCTACAATAACGAGTTAAACACAATAAGCAAACACTATGCAGAAATGTCTGAAATGGGACAAGAGATAGCCAAATGGAAAGGTGCCTTTAAGGTAGATGTATTTTTTTTGGATCACTTTGTGGTTGAGTACATCGACTACCCTGCAACCCTTCGTGCTTGCAGCGGGAACGTCCATCGTGCCTGTTGATGAGTAATACTTAATGGCGACATAATACTTAATGGCGACAATCAGAGTGCATCGACTACCCTGTAACCCTTCGTGCTTGCAGTGGGAACGTCCATCGTGCCTGTCGGTGATTAACATTCAACGGACTACCTTGTGACCCTTCGTGCTCGCAATGGGAAAGGCTGTGGCTTGTCCGTGATTGACCTATGACTACCAATTTTTTATATGCGTGATAAGGCAGGCACTAATTCTTTTCTCTATTTTTAAAAAATAGAATGATAAAAGGACGAAGTCGGTAATCCAATTCTGGGAAGTTCAAGACGTAGCGAGAATGGCAGAAGAGAAATCGAGAGCTGAAGTTCGAATGTTGCAGGTATTCATTATCTCTACAATCTAACATGCTAGACTAAATAATTCACTCTTGACGTGATTTCCCGTACAAGGCGGCTCAGCACGTAACTATAGCCACAGTTACAACAGAACAAGTTCAACAATACGCTAGATCAACTACTACCAAGATCTCGGAGAAATTCCTTGATGAAAAAGAAAAATTACCCAATGATGGATCTGAGGATGATGGAGTCCATGTTGATAGTGGAGAATTCCCCAATTCTAGCCTATTAGGTAGAAATGATACGAAAGATGGTAATTTATTCAAACTCGTCTATGCATTACATATTTAACTTTTTCTCTGTGACTCGGAATAATAGCCTTAGAAACAATCATAGATGCTGAGAATCCGCTTTTTATATCTGGACACGATTCTAACGATGCAACCGTTAATCAGGACGAGGTATGATTTTTTTAGTTATCAAGTTCGGACTACGTGTGGTAGCCCTATTATTTACGTCAAACAGTTAAGTGATATTCAATTTTGAGATCAATTACTAATATCTCTCTCCTCTATAGCTAGTACCGTTAAAGAATACTCACAAGCGGTTATTTTCTGAGATTGGTGATGACTTGCCTTCATCCCATATAATGTCGGTAATGGAAAAATATCGTGCAAAATCAACAACGTCAAAATACGAGTAAGCTTTGTTTTTGATAATAGATCCACTACAGATTACGTTTATTGAATAGTTTTAAATCTTATTATTTTTGTGAAGTCTTGTGCACAGCTTTATTTTAGATCTCACTCCCTGTTCACGGATAGAAAAAGAGTTCGAACCCGAGTTTTGGGCGGAGCTTATAGCAGACCGACCACCTGCAGTTAATGCCACATATTACGAAGAAATTGGATCAATTTGTGATCATCTATTCGGGCCTCTTGGTGAGAAATTAAGGAGCAAGGTGACTAAGTAAAGTGCATTTGGAAAATTCGAGCAGTATTGACCACAAATATTGACACATTTATGTTTTTGATAGAAGCTTCACGAATCCCGTGATAAATGGGTAAAAATAAGGGATTTAAAAGCACCAGAATATAATGAAGGTTTTTCATACAATGAAGAAGACTGGAAGAAGATCCTGTATTGGGTTGAACGTGCTATTGGGACATTGTAAGTTCTTTTGCCAAGTCTAGCTTCCATTGAATGCATGATTTACCATCTTTTTTAGTCTAGATGCTTTTGAATCTGAATATAACCCAATTCAACAAAATGATTGTGGGGAAAGAGAGTGGTTTGGAGAATATGTCATTCCTATTTTTCAGGGTGCCCTAAAATTGGACAGTTTTTGTCGTGTCCCTTGGTAAGTTTCAATTTTTCTCATTACTCCCGTTCCCTAGACTCAAATATCTAACTTTTAGGGGAGAAATTACGGTAGTCGCCAGTTGCCGAAGACGAAATGAAAACAAAAGATATTAGAAGAATGTCTTGAACGGGGTCATCTAGCGGATCTATTATGCAAAATCGATCAACAAGAAGTGGTTTGTGGACTAGCATGTGGTGGCCCACATAAATATGACCTTACAAAGTGGGCGTCTGACGAATATCAGCTACCAAGAATGCTTAAGGATACATTGGATGATATATTAGAGAAATTTAGAGGTGCAAGTAGAGATTCATCAAATCTTTATACTATCGGAATTCAGGTGAGATAAGTCTTAAGTTCCTTTGTCAATATACAATTGGTCTTCATGGGGAATACTGAATTTTGTTTTGATTAGCTATACATGACAGAGATTCGAATATACATGATGGAAAAGCGTGATATATACCGACTTCATCTCCTGAAGTCGTTTAAACTTCCTCTATTATATTCATCTTATGACAAGCTACGTCTTGCACTTTCTTGGGCATGGAATATAAGAGTAAGCCTTATTTTTTGCATTGTTTTAACTCTCCTAGTGGATCACTGTCACTTACTAAGGGGCATTTTCGTCCAGGGACTTGTGAAAGAACTGTCACTAAAATTGGATGATAGCACGATTGTTTCCTCTAGAGGTCCACCAAACGAAATGAAAACCATAAAAACACCAGAGAAATCAAAAAAGAAAAAGTGACGCAAAAATTAATTAATTCATCCTGAATATTAAGATTGTTGTTAGTGTTTTATTGCTGTTTTATTTGTATTGTATTAGAATAATTAGAATAATAAAGAATACAGTTTTCGTGACGTGGGTCATGTGATATGAATCAGGTTGAAATTTTTGATATTTATATAAAAAAATAACAAATACTCGAATAACAAAATCGCAAAAGTATTTAAAGCTTTAAGTTTATTCAATGAGACCCAATTCTCGAAGATGTTCAGGAATAACTATATGTGGGTCTTCGTAATACCAAACATACCTCAAGGTAATCTGATTCTCTTCGCATAATTCTTTCTTGAGTTGATCCCGTACTTGCTGTTTGATAAAATTATTGGGATCGCCATTATGGAAGAATTTGATATATTTTTCGTGTTGTACGCCTTGTACTTTGATTGCAAAGCCATATTCTGGGTAATAAATATCAAGTTCTAATCCTGTGGAACATTCTGGTGTTTTGAGAAAATTAGGTTTGCGGATTAGTGAAGGAGGGCCAAGATATTTTGTTAAAATCTCATGACATAGCTTTTCTCTTTTATATTTCGGGCAGAATGGGCACCATGAGTTTAAATGTTTAACATTATCAAAAGTAGCAAACCATCTATGTTTTTTATCACACATCCATAATAAAGCTGAATGATTATTAATATAATATTCAGAAAGACAAGCTTCCTTTCTATTATAAGCCAATTGTTTGGCATCTTCAAGTGTACAAGGCCTATTAGCTGCGCAATATGGACACCAAGTCTTATTATTTTTCACATTGTTAAAAGATGCATTTCACTCATGCCCTTCAGAACAACGCCATGATAAAGGTGAAAGACTATTATCACATGTTTGGAAAGGCATTCTCCATTCTTACTAAAAGCAACTTGCTTAGCATCTTCAATTGTATGACTGGCCTTATTTGCACAATACGAACACCATGTCTTACCATTCTTGATATTGTTAAGAAATGTAGTCCATTCATGACCATTTGCGCATTGGAATGTTAGCATTAATATATTCAGTAGAAAGACAAAACCCACCACGTTTTCCAGCAATTGCACAAGCATCATTTATTGTCAACTTTCTCATTGCAAATAGGTGATTCTTCATCAAAAAAATCAAAACTTTAATTTCAGGAGTAATGAATCTTTATGATCCTTTTTTTCGCTTCTACCTCTTTTTGAAGGTCTAATGGAATATCAAATCTCAACCGAATTACCAGTGGATTATCATCTGATTTATCTAGATCAAAAACAATAAATTCACCTTTTCAAAGGTAACTATTAACAACCATAGAGGTAATTTTCACATCTTCAGTATATCGTCCAATGACCTTGGAAATATCTTGATGTGAACTACCACCATTAAAGACTACTAGATGTGAAATATTTTCACGGATAATTATTGGTGTATGATGGTAACGTTGTATTACATATATGCTTGAAATGTTTCTATGATGTCCATGTGTAAAAAATTGGCTAATTCGATTCTGTATATGATCTGGAGCGAGACATAGATCTTCAAAAATAATTGCTGTGCTTCTCTCAGGCGAAAATGATTTAATACTAGGAATTTTTTCTGGCAATATATAGCTAAATCGTATATTTTTATAGTAAGGCGCTTTTGGATCTTTTGAAATTATGCCATACATATATCTTACAAATGCCCACTTTAACTCATCAGGATGATAACTACAAACTATCAAATCATCACATGCAATAGGAGCCATACGAAGTGCCTCTCAGCCCTTTTTTACCTTTATATATGCATTCAGCTTTATTACTGAAAAAAAGATTTGCCAAGATATTAGTCTTACCTGATCCACTTTTCCCGATGACTAGCATTGAGAAAGGCTATGATGGACTTGTAAGATGTAATTAAGGTTGCTTGTCGAAACTAGAGGGTTTCGGCAAAATGGTGTACGTGAAACTGCCGAAACTAGTTTCGCAAAATTATCAAGAAATGCCGAAACTGCGAAACTTATCAAAATCACAAACCTGCCATAATTTGCCAAAACTATTTTAGCATTTCGGCAATACTTTCTATATGATTTAATTAGAGTTTCAGCATTTAAACAATTTATAAGAATAAAGACAATATAATTTTTTATATGTAAATATTTATTTTATAATATTTAATATTAAACTAATAAAATATACGATTAAAAATATTTAAAATTTAATATTTTTATCTTCTATGTGGGGACCTGCTTCTACCTCTTCTTCTATCTCTACTTCTATCCCGTCTTCTATCTCTACTTCTGTCTCGTCATCTATCTCTACTTTTATCTCTACTTCTTAATCGAGACCTAGATAGCAACCTCCTTCTTTCTCTTCGCAATTTATATTCATATTGATGTCGATCATGCACGGCATGCCGCCGTCGATACTCTCGTCTAAACAGATCTAAAATCCAATAAAAATATTAATGAATTGAATGAATTGCCTAAATAAAATTAATTTAAAATAATAATTAATAATAATTACCAGTTTGTAGCCAAAATTCATCGTTCATATCAGCGAAATACGCTCTATCGAAACTATTTGGGCTTACAATAGGAATATCATCATCATTATTATTTATTATCCTACTGAGGTTTTCATAACCTCGTTTGAGGGCATTCCATTTTGTAAAGCATTGCCTGGGTGTCGCTGCAAATCCAGTTGCAGCGAACACCCTATTTGCTATTATTGTCTATGCATTTACATGGTAACGGTTTGAAATTCTTTCGAATTGCTGATGTATATTTTTTCGCTCGGCGATTAATTGCCTAGCAGAGTTAATCGTCTATTGGAATACTGGTGGTGGCGGTGGAACAAAAAGTACTAATGCTGCCATTTTTTATTTTTATGATTTTTTCGTAACTTGAAAATTAAATACAATTTGAAAATTAAAATACAATTTGGTTTTGAATTGCGAAAAAAAAATCCTATATACTTCAAATTTCATAATATTTATACTAATTTTAAAATTCGTTATAATGTTTAAAACATGAACTGATGAACATAATAACATTCTACATAATTAAAGTATTTATAACAAAATAAACACAGTTTTGATTCTAATGTAATAAATTTAATTAACGCAGTTCTAAATTTTTTTTTGTAATGCAGTTCTTAAAATTTATTAATCTAATGTAATAAATTTAATTAACGAAGTCCTTAAAACTTATTGATTCTAATAAAATATGCTTATCCTTATTCCTTAATTAAATTGCACTATTTTTAAAATATAATATGCTTATCCTTATTTCTTAATTAAATTGCAATGTTTTAAAATATAATATAAAATTACAATTGCCTGCATAATTATATGTTAACTGGACTTTGATCGCGAATATTTTGCCGTGCATAATTACATAATTTATTTCCTAAATAGTATCATTATTTAAATCACATGATATTAGAATTAATTCTCATTGGATTAACTATTGTAATTATTTCTCATTATTATTATTCCTCATTATCATCATAATTATCGTCATTATTATCACCGTCATTCATACCTAATACATCATCTATATCATAATCATAGTCACCTTCCCCAGCTCTCTTGTTATTACCACTATCATCAACTTCATTATCTTCCGCATTATTTTCATCTGAATCATCTGATATATCTCTTAGAATATCGCCGATTTCACTAGTAATTGAATCATGCAATAAAGTAATAAATTGATCAATCCATAAACTTTTGATTACTACACGGCAATTGTCTTCGGGTATTGTTTCACCGCTTGTAGTTTATCTTTAAGTAGAAGCTTGCTTCTCATTATATTCCTCATCGTCATCTTCTGCAAAAGCTTCTGCAATACGTATATTGATATCATCATCACTAAGATGAGTATTCTTTTTTTGATCAATTCCATAAAATCCAAGTTCAGTTTTTGAATTGGATTTCCAATACAAAATTAATTTGCACATGGATTCTAGTTTATCCACATTAAGATTTAAGCGACGTTTATGAAATAGCCATCCTAAAGTCGAAAATCCACGTTCGCAAGTTGCTGAGTTAGGA